TATCTAAGTCTAGGGGTCTCTCACTCAGCTCCTGCAGGTAACGAGCAGTGGTTCTGCAGAAGCTCTGCAGCGACAGGCCCATGTACTTTTGCCTGATGAACAGAGCCTTCACTACACATTTGGCAGCATCCAGCAGATCTGTAAATGGAACCTAGGACAGAAAAACAGACGTCTTCAAGATTTGACTGTAAGAGAAAAAAACACACACACAGTCTTCCTGCAGTGACCACTCTGACTTACCCCACATTTCTCTTCTCCAGAAATAGTGACTCGCTGGTACTCCCCCTCAGGGGCCGGTTCTCTCTCCTGCAGGTCAGGAATTTGGCTCTGCTCCTTCATGTATCTTAAGATAGACAAATAAAGATATGAGATCACCATTCTGGCAGTTTAAGATGAGCATTGAGGGGTTCATGTGACTACGGTTGACTCACTCAAGATCTGTGGCACTGTCAGTCTTCATGAACTCTTGCTTGGCTCGTAGGAGTATGTCAGGTTCAAACCTGAGATCACAAACACAAAGGCCGAGTTGAGTTCATAGCCTGACTGCAAAGTCAAGTACCTCTTTTGCCGCTCGCGCTTACTTGACATCCTGGCTGATCTGTCGCTCAAGGCGATGACGTTTCTCCTCCAGCTGTTCAATGGGGCTGTCCTCTGGAAATTCATAGGGGGCGCTCCGCATCTCGCTCTCTGCCAGGCTGCGTGAGAACAGCTCCTTCAGACAGAGACAAAGAAAAATGAAAGCCACGGCGTAACTTTGAACATCACTGGTTAATTATTTGCACAGTGGCTGAACACTGACTTCGGCAATCTCCTTGTATTTTCCATCCATGGAAGTACGCAGGTCAATGGATTGTTTCAAGGCCACAGGGATCCCAGGCAAGGAATGCTGGGAAGTGAGGAGGTGGCGGGTACCGCGGAGATCAACTGCAGATAAATAGGGAAAGAAAGTAGGCACTGAGCAGTTTCTCTTCTGTGATAACATATTCTCAGGAGCCTTACTTCAGTAAATAATGGCCTAATTACAGTATGAAGAGGAGAAACAACCCACAGAGTGGAGCACATGGGGGCTAATGTTTGCTGTTTATCTTTATATCTTTGCCTGTGCTGCATTTTTAATAACCTGTAGGAAATAATTTGTCATTGGTGTGCACGATAATAGCAACTTGCTTCCATTTAGGGTAATATTTTATAATACAGCCCATGACTAATGGCGTAATTAAATTTAATTGTATTTAATTTGAAATTGCAATGTGATTATATTTACTTACAAATAATTAATATCCTGGTAACTTACTGGAAAAAACAACAAATATTTCCCCATCTTATATCATAAGTACACTGTACTCTTGGGCACACGGGCTGTATTATGGAGCAGCTTAACTTATACCCAACTTCTGGATATTTTGCAGGAAAGGAGGCACATATTATAATGTAAGTAATTTTAAGTACATCATAAGTAAAAAAGAACACATGAACAATAGAAACTTCATCATGCATCATAAATGTAGGATTGGAAATATTGTTTTCCTTCGAAATTACTAAGAAACTTTAAAATGAGTTATGTTGTACTTAAATTTACCTACATTAAAGTTTTTGTCTCCCATTCCTGAAAAATACCTGAAAGTTAGGCAAGGTTATGCTACTCCATAATACAACCTGCACCCCAAAAAGATGGCGCAATAATGTTTGGTTTTCCACTAAATTACCGGGAAATTACGAAGTACTAAAAATGACATGCGCACTACTTAAATTTATTTACAGTATAATTATTTCTTTGTTTACAGTAAAACTGTAAAACTTTTTTGTTATTATGCAAATATAATTACATTTTGACTTCAAATGAAACACACTGAATGTCCATTTAATTACAGGGGAATTTTAGCCTTAGTTGCAGGCTGTTCTAAAGTGTTGCTCACTTTGATTTAAAGATTTAGAGTCTAAGACGATTACTTTTTTCTAGGCTCCTCAGAATTATCAAATTATAATGGTTTTGGTGGATTTCGTGGTTCGTTAAAAAGCTTTTGAGCATGATGTAATGCATTGTTACAAATTGAAAAATGCACATCTCAGTCAGGGAAGCTCCACTGCTAAAAGCTTTTTATTCACTCAGCAAAAGTATCGATTCAGTGTAATTTACTCTTAATATTGCATGTTAGGACCGATAAGATTGCTTGTAAAACTTTTTCAAAGTCACTAAAACAATCTGCAGAAGCTTGTTGCTCCTCTTCACACAGCAGTGGAGGTCTGAGGTCAGTGGCTGTTTGTGCCTTCAGACACAATGAGCCATTCAGGTGGAGAGCCCATCAGCACATACACCGACTGATGCAAGCCATTGTTGCCATTGCAAGGCTTGAGTTTTATACAAACCCTGTTGTCATGGGAAGCTGAAGAGGGGAAAATAAAGGAGGCTGGAGAGATCACACTTTCCCCTCTCGGCGTATATTTAGACAGATATTAATCTTCCCCTTGAAACGATGCACCTGCCACTGAAATATTCATCATCCTGCTAAATATTTCATCCTGTGCATGCTAGGCTGTCACTGAGACTGTTGTCCGTCAGCATTTATAGACCATACACACAAGAAGGTGAAAGAGGGCGCACTGTTTGATACTTAAAGTCTGCACTCAAGTTTGACTTATTTAACGCAGCATGTCTGAGCATGCCTGCTCCTTGGAGAAAGCAAAGGAGACCAGAGAGGCCAATTAACTGGGCCGATTAGCACTTCACAAAAAGCTTCATTAAAATTTATTTAATAAAAAAAAACACTCAGTGAAGCAGGCGAAATGGCTGCTATAAAGAGAGACGGTGGTAAAATAATTGGCTGGACCAGAACTCACCACCAGTTTATCACCTTCTGCTTAACACCGTCCAATCAGCACTTCCCACTCCCACTCACATGGGAGTAAAGTCAAAACAAGCACAGTATTTCTGGCTAAAAGGTTTTTCAGATCATTATGAGAAACGCAAACTTTTTTCTTAATTATTTGAGTATGATAATGTTTTGCCGTTTAATAGTTGAATGAGGAGCGAATTTTAAAGTTTAGCTCAATTTCCCTTTATAAAAAATATCATTTTTTACTGAACTGTGATGAAAAATGATCTTTGATATTTGATATATATTTATTAAAAAGCAGTTACATTTGTATATATATATATATTTATATTTCTTCATACATTCTTATATATTTCTATACTGTGTATTTGTGTATTGTGTATTTTGTTGTACAGTTATTTCATTTCTTACTTTTATTTTTATATTTTATTTTATTCCTTCTTAGTTAAATTGACTCTTTTTAATTTTCATATTTACTTCCTATCTTATTCATAGCCTTTTTTTCGCTTTAGGTCACGAGCAGTTGTGTAAGCTGCATATCATACTGTGTATGACTGTGTATGTGACAAATACAATTTGAATTTGAATTTTGATTTAGGAGATGCACAGAATCATCTTGTATAGCTTCCTCTCTCAAATACACATCAGTGCTGGGAAAGTCTAAACATAAATGGTTGTAAAATCTTCTTTTCTTTGTCATTTTGAAGATTTTCCTTCTGCTTACACACTCAGCAGGTTCAGTCCAGTTTAAGTTTTCATCATAGTGCTAAAATTAGCCTCAAGTGAAAGTTGCAAAGCTGGTTTTTTTGCATATTTATTTACAATTTGTTTGGTTAGAGTCACTATGCATAACTATAAAGTCACCAGACACTTTATTAGGAACACCGATTTAACTGCTTGTTAATGCAAATATCTAATCGGCCAACTCAAAGCGTTTAGGCATGCAAGCAGAAAGAAAGTGATGACCATAATGTTTCTTTTCATTAATTGATTGGAGTGACTATGAAGGTAGCACAGTTGATGGTG